TCTTTCTGAGAATGTAGCAAACTGCTGATTTGCTGCTCATAAAGTTTCTCCTCTCACCCTGATAAGTGTGTTCTGGTTTTTGCTTTCTACCTCGTTCACTTGCGTTGACAACTGTTTGATTACATGTTGGAATTTCCAATGAACAGTTGCCAAATTCAGATTCAATGAACTCTAGACTTTGTTAACATAAAATGATCCTGTCAGTTGTTTGCCTTGTAAATCTCAAAGCCTGAGTAAAAGGATGGATTATGTTAAATTGTTATTAAACCACTAATGTAAACATTTAGTTTAACGAAAGCATTAAGGTTTGCGCTTCAGTCAGCTCTAGACTGCTCCATTTTAAATCCACCGTGGGGATGTCCAGAAGCAAAATTATGAAACCTGTGTCCTTGTCCAAAAATATGTAGGCCTGACTGCATGTGAACGCTTGCATCTGGATTATGCCTACTGTTGTCTCCTGCATGAATAGCAGTGCGTTTTTTAAAAGTGCTGCCAGTGCATGCCAGCCTTTGGTGTCATTTCAGCTTGTCGTGCACCTCTTGATTACCTCCTCAACTTAGGTTTCCCATTTGGAGCAGTCCCAGCAACCCTGAATTAACAGTCCAACATGGCAGTAGTGACTGTAAACCCTAGGAAAGCTGTATAAAACTTAGTTCCATAAGATAACATCAAACGGATAGTTTCGCAAACTTGACAGTGTGATAATGAGATACATAAAACCTTTTAAGCTTTACAGTTGCTAAATATTTACTTTACAGCTTACACTTGTTCCTCTTTTATCTGTAATCCATGTTTTATTTTAATTATTGAAATTGTTAACAAATCCTATCTGAGCCCCTTTAAACACACATTGTTAAACTTCGCATAAGCTTCAGTTAAAATAAATCAGTGACCTGCGGGAATACAGGCAGACAACACAAGAAGTACACAGTTGCTTATGTAGGTGTTTGTATATTTTTTTTGTGCTGCACTAAGCTGCTGTATGCAGCAATGATCAGCTTTTGAAGTACCCTGAAAGTTAACATTGACAGTAGCTTTGTGCGTCAACGTTAGCTTAATGCAGTAAATGAACAGAGCAGAACATAAACATGACAGAGCTCCTGCTGTGAGAGTGCCGTTTGAATGACAGAATGACTTCTGGCAAAAGGTGTTAAATAAAGCAGAGTTTCGTACAAGAGATTACTGTCACAGTGAAAAGCTCCGCAGCCCGCCAGATGTGAATGATTGACACAGAAACTGTACCGCATTTGTAGTTCTACCTCCCTGTGTTGTACACTATAGAGCGTGAAAGTTGAGGAAATCTCTGAACTCTGATTAACAGCATGTGTCTTCGTGGCAGCATCTTTACTCATGTTTGACCTTTAAAAATGTTTAAGGTAATACGGTGAGCAGTATTATTCAGTCAAAGTCATACATCACATTTATCACATTTCTTTGCTTGTGTAATAAAAATAGCAGTGTGATGAAAAACAGAGTGAATAATAAGCCCTTTTCAGAAGATATTTAAATAGCATTGCTGGTTTGAGCTGTTAAGAGACGTTTGTGCCATTGAGACATATGTAGAAAACCAAATATTACTCATGCTTTTATTTAAGCAGTCTATGACTGTTTTAGCATCATATCATGCTGTAGAGAGTACAATTTGCAGAAAGGGCCAGATTTACTTACTGCATCAGGTGTCTGTGCAGTGCCAGAGCTTGGGCTCTTCTGTTCTGTAGTTCTGCATTTTTCTGGCCCTCATTACATTTAAATATGAAGCTTTGAAGAGAGGGGAAGAATCATTGCCCGCTATATGACGCATGTAAGCCGTGGATGCATAACAGACAGAAAACACAATTTTGAGTGTTTCGGGGATCCTTTAATATGACTATGCTACAAGGATGTGGTCCATAATGAAAACTGCAGAGAGCACAAAAGCTGCTTTTGTTTGTTATGTGTTTGTTTGGTTTTTAACTGTCTCTCATGCCTGATCTGTTACATAAAGTGCTTCAAAATACCGCTATTTGACCTGAAGCATGTTAAAGAAAGTGACTGTTCAGGTCTCACTGGATGTAACTCAGCCGCCTGAGATTCATATTCCTTGGGGTTTTTTTTAGCTACTGCCAGACAGAGTATGCAGAAACGACAAACAAAAGCCTCCCACTGGATATTACTGTTCATAACTATCAGAAATGGGTTATAGCTGCAGACCTGTTGAGCATCAAGTCATGTCAGTAATGCCACAGAACAAAACTGAGACATGATGTTCGAGGAGGAGGAGTATTTGTGTCACTAACATAGAAGTTCATGTGTATTCAGCTAGCTTGGCAGAACATCTGAAAACATGTTGTTTTGGTCCTTTTTACACTGTTGGGATTGTAGCTAATTGAAGATGGATTACAAAAATATTGATTCTGTTGGTGGTTAATCAAATAAACATAAGGTGATTTCCACTTGTCCTTGGTTATGGGACAGTGTGTGATCTGTGTGCATTTCTTGGGGATAAAGTTTAGTTTCAGAGCAATATGTTAGTGAGGCTGATGAATTCCAGATGAATGGCATCACTGAAAATAAATACGTTCACTATGAATTTAAATTATTTTCTGCAGCTTTCCTCGGGCATCAGTCTCTCTCTTTGTGTATTTTATATTGTTTATCCTTCTCGACGACCTGTTGCTCCTGACTGAAGTAGGCAGCGTTTGATTGGTCCATTTTATGCCCCCCCCCCAAAAAAACAAAAAAACAAAAACAAAAACATTAGATGCCTGCAAAGCAGAAAGCCTGGGTTAAAAAGGAAAGTTAATAGATGCCGTTGTGATACTGATTATCTCTGTATAATAACATATTGGGATTCTAGGTTTTGTCGAGCCGCCTAATGCATTGAAATCCCTACTTTGGCAAGCTCACTTTGTTGTATGCACTTCTGTGTTTTCAAAACTCCTGTTAACATCCACTGACACGTCTACAAAATAAGAATTTTTCTCTGGTGTGGATCATTCTTCTCAGCATGATCTGAACCACAGTCTGCCATGTCTCAGCTTTTTGGAGCGTTTTTCAGTTTAGTCGACAGCAGACACTCTCCGAGTGTGACTTACTCATGTTTAGTTACGTTTGTTGCAGTTTGGTTGCAAAAATGTTGCTTGTCAACAACACAACTGTAGATCAGCCTGTTACTCTAATTATTAAAAGCTGAGAAATACACAAAGGGTTTTGAATAATGCACATTTATATGGAAAAGGCTTTTAAATGCAACACTTCTGTCTCAGCTCACCTGTCTTTAAGTCAGCTTTTAAGAAATGTTCATAAATGCAGTAAATGACAAATTAAATGGAAAAACTGGCACAGAGTGTCTTAGTAATGTTGGTATTCCTCCAAAAGAGCTTCAGTCCACATTGGCATTGATTGTACAAGTGTTCATCAAACCATTCAGTGACCCTTCATCCCCTGTGGATGGAGGCACTATCGGTGTCACTCTCGGGATAGAAATGTTTCATCATCACGCTGAACAACTTTGTACTGATTGGCATTGATCTTTCCTCTGAGGGCAGCAATGGACTCAAACTATGTCAACAAAA